CGAGGGGCCGCGGCGGCGTCTGGGGCTGGGTTGCGTGTTCCCTTGCTGGGTCCCGCTGGAGCTATTTGCTGCTCGTGGTGCAGCGCGCAGGAGAAAGGTTTCCCTTTCCTTTGGACTGCGTGGGTCTGAGCAAACTCTTCATCTACCCTCTTCCCCGTGCATGCCGCAGTAACTCATTYAACAGTCTTTCTGCTGTAAGGAAAAACTCTCACTATGCTGTAAGATCAGCGTAGAATGGGAGCTGAACTTTGCCTAGAAACACCTATTAGAGTGTAGCCTGCAGGTGTCTTTGCAGGCTTGCAGCTGGGCAGGCTGCGGCTTCTCGCCGTGCCAGGGTACAGCCCCACAGGCAGCAGTCCGGGCTCCTGAGAGCGCTGCATTTGCTGCTTTGCTGACTCCTGGAAGGAGTCAGGGGCGGTTCGCTAAATGTAATACACTTATCCTGGAAATCCAATGGAGATGGCGCTCATTAATCTGACAAAAATTACCGTGGCATCTTTAATGACCACGTATTCCTGTTTCAGAAGACAGTTCTTTCTGTGTCAAACCGGCCTCTATCTTTGCTAAACTGTAGAATAGTAATGTCTATAATGTCCAATGTCAGTGTCTATACTCAGACTGAGAGAGAAGATCGCAAACTGCTGATTTATATAATACTTCTTTGGGTTTGCTTGTGGAACAAAGGAAGAATATCCTTACTGATGTCTGAAAAGGTTGTGTTACACATTATAGCTGTGCTTCTGTCAGACAGCTGACTACTTTAGAAGAAATTAGCAAATGGTATCCTATCAAAAAGTCTTCGTAAATCAAGGGCTTAATAAAAYACACATATGGCTTTTCCATTAAATTCTGCAAAATCTACAAAATAATTTTGGTGTATTACRTTTTCATGTAGATGTCTCAGCTTTAAGCATGAGATTTTTTTAAACTTTTGTACTGTATTTCACTGTGATATTCATAAAATTAGATTTCATTTATTTTGTATCTTCAGAAAATGCAGGACTCAGTTACACAAAGCTGCAGGTAAGATCCTTAATCCTGCACTCAACATTCACACCTAATTACTTTACATGAGTGTCTCCATGGATTTCACTGGGATTTATCACAAACAAGGGAATGCACATCTGCTGCTTATGAGCTGGGACTCAGGGACCCAGCTGTAGTGGTAAAAGATGTTTTAGTCAGTCCAGGCAAACTTGGGAAAGGCTAATCAGATCTAAATACTCTCCCATGATTTWCAAAGCATCTCCATAGGAGAATAAACCAGTAAGCACTATTTAATTATAATGTGGGTATCATTAACAAGCTCTTCTTATACAATGTGCCATTGTTAGTATTTTCATTATGAACAAAGARTATTTGGAATGGAGTGGGTTTAACTCCCAAATTATTGGTTTGCACCAGTTCTGGTACTGGGGTCAATGTGATTTTGCAAATAARTTTCAGAGCTATTGTATCCTTTTTTCCCCAACCCTTCTGTTTGCAGTTAACAGTCTGCTAGCATTTGTGACTACTTCAGAGACAAAACTAAGCAGCCCACATGTGTATCATGTATCATTTAATATATGCTTTTATTTAAATACCTACTCTGCATGGTTAAAGTGAATTTTCTCAGTTTTCCCGTGCTGCTCTTTTGGGAACGTTGTGGAAACTCTGATGTCTAGATGAGATTCAGTATCAGAAAGTACAAATGARTCTTCCTCCCAAGAACAAGATAATGAAAAGGTCTATTGTCCAAGAGGCAACTGAAGAAAATCATAGCATGGAGATTAATGCTGTCATAAAATAAGAATTCCCAYTGCTAGAGCTTGCTGTCCGACCACTGGAAACTATGCAGAATAAACCATACTATGGGTGTACTGTTCTATAGCACCACCACTAACTTTTATGTGGTGAATTTCTGAAGTTACTGAAATGGTCATTGCCTTCACCTCTGAGCAGGGGTYGGACCTGATAGCTTACAGAGGTCCATTCTSACCTAAATMATTCCATGATTATATKRTTTAGTAGTTAGTCATTTTACAACAGTGATATCAAAAGTGTATATGTCATTTAGATGGGTGACTTAAAATTAAGTGACAGATCCTTTARTCTTCTTCATTTCATTAGAGCTGTAGAAAATTAAACAGTATATGTAGTATATGTACTCTAAACCCTTTTGATAACAGAGTCTGTTGTGTAAAAGTCCTACCATGATATTTAGACCTGGCAATAAAATTGAATGCTGATCTCTGCTCTTTCTGATATGCTTCACTGTCTATGCCCGTCAATTCATGAGTGCATGGATAGGCAAGTTGTCCTTTCCCCATCCCCAGCGCGCTTTGGACAGCTTCCAGAATGTGGTTTTTCCTCTTGTATCCTGTAGCACCTTCAGCTGTGCTCTCCACATGGGTATCATGGGTATCAGTGTTGGGTTCATGGAAATATTTGGCTGACTACCAAATGTCTGTCACCTCCCCTTCAGGAACTGCTTTGTTATGAATTTTGGGTCTTCCCTGTACTGTTTCAAAATCCAAGTTAATTTAGTCTCCTTTCACATTTGATGTTATTAGTCCAAGTTACAGTTTCTCTAGGATTTTGTAGCAACAGCTGTAATAAATGGGTACTGGTGGAGTTTCAGCTGCAGCTCAATTGCTGTGCAAGGCTGGGGAATCTCTCAGTACAGATAGCACTGGAATATCCTTTTAGTTGACAATGTAGGGATRTGTGCTGGATGAACAGGACTGTGTGGAAGCACAGGAAACAAATGTGTAAGACTTTGTGACTCTGAGGTTATCACCCTGTCCCCTCATTATGCAGACATGTCTGGACAATTTGCTGTCTTGTGCTAGTATCATGCCCTTCTGCAGATACTGTGTGACAATGTGTGGTCATGAAGCWTCATAGACCCATTTGTCCCAATCTTCTTGCACTGGAGTACACAACTTCTGGTCCTAAATCCACTGCAGATTCAGGTTACTCATTTTGTTTGGATACTCATTATTTCAGATTAGTAGAAGACYGATGTTGCCAAGTCAACAGTTATTTTTGTTATTGTGGTGGCTTGCTGTGCTACTGTGAAAGCTGTTTGTGTTTGTGTTGGCTGTCTCAGAATACACAGAATTACTAATTGACTTTCAGATAATGAGTTTCCCAGATTTATCTGGTACTAYTGACAGCATGAATGGCCAAAGTTGGCTTCTTAAAAGGAGCTAAAGAATGTGTTAACAAGTGACTACTGCGCTGTTTTGCAGGACATGGTGCAGTTGTGGATAGCTTCGCGTGCTCATGTGACCTTAGCACCAGGGTTGAGCAGCATGTGAGGAATTTACAGACTTACAGCACCTGCAACCTCATTTCTTCTTGGTGATTTAACTCTACTGGTGAAAGGCAGAGGACAGCTATGATTTAGAATAGGTCTACCTGTCCTGTGCTGCTAAGCCTAGTGAAGTCCCCCTTATGCAGCAAGGAGTCCCAGAAAATCCAYTCCATCACTTGGAACAGGATGACAGTAGAGTGCACCTTTGGARCGATGAAGGCAAGATGGTGCTTCTTGCTGATGTGCCTAAATATCATTCTCCCAGTTGTGGCTGCCTGCCCTCACACAATGTCTGCTTGGCTAGGGATAGATGTTTTATGATGCTGGACTCTGTGGGGCATCTGTTTTTCAGAACTGGAAAACGCCTGTGTCAGCAGCTGGTCCAGAAAGACAGAGGAAATTACTAATGCTCTGTGTCCTGATGCTCATACCACACAGAGTGATTTTAATGAGTAGTGAACTCATTAGTAGTAGTGGCTGTACTGGCTTGTGGGTAGTGAAGTACTTTGGAACATATTGTAACTGATAGTTAAAAGGGTTTTACAGTGCCTGCTGTTCTTTTTTCTTTTTTTGATTTCTGAGATGATTGAATTGAGAAGGAGGTATTTTGTGGCTTTCATGTAATAAGACCTTTCTTTTTCCAAGTAACTCACTGTGCTTGCTGATTTGGGGACACAGACTCCAAATTCATTGACATACATAGATTGCTTGCTTTTGATTTGATCAGTTTCCTGTTATCTTAAAAATGGGTAGATAATAAGGAGTGCTGAAAGAACTTSAGAATGGTTTCTCTTCTCTGCTCTTATGTTCTTTATAACTTAAACCCACTAAATTTAGGTCTGCCACCAGCTTAATGAAAGTTAATGGCTGTCTCTTTTAACTATGAAATAAGAAAAGCTGAAGGCAACTTCTGTAGTGCTAGTAACTGCTGCCKCTGGTGCTTTTTTGTCTTCCCTTTCCCTCCCATCTATGATGAGAAATTGCACAGGGTTCAAGAGAGGGGATGCTATTTGCAGGTTTTGATGTTCCACATAACTGCTGAGAATTTCCCTGCTGTGCATTGTGCCTGTTTTGGTGGTAGCTGCAGAAGGTGGAGAGATAGGGGTTTGTGGAGTTCATGTTTCTGATTTAGACTTGGAAGGAAACTTATACTGCRGGACAAGGAGGGAGACCACACAAAGGAGTAGAAGGCATGAGCTGAAACATGTTACTACCCTAGCTGTCCAATCTATTTCAGCATGATCTGTTCAGCAAAGACAGGTACATTTTTAAGGCACTTGGATGAAAAAAAGGTGATCTTCCAGGCCAGTGGAGTAGTTTCCTGATTTTCTATAAAAGAGGTTTTCCTGAAGTGGGGTAAGAGATGGAAGGACWCTGACTTCTGCATAAGTCACAGAGCATCTCTTTTCACTTGATTTTATTTAAGAGTTATCACAGTGAAGAGGACAAATATTAATAACCTGCTCCATGCAGTAAAGAAGGTCACTGATTTTTCACCACTGACACTGAATACTCAGTAGTGTCTCTGTCCAAAAGAGCCATCAATCCCTTATGAGGAGACTTCCATGGAAAGATACTTGTAAGCATAGACACAGGCTTRTGTTGTTTCACTGCTGTCCAACAAWGGAAATAGGTRTTTTAAAGATGAAATATAAATTTTATTTTTCAACATGCCTACACTGTAATTAATGAAAATCCATAACAGTGCATCAAAAAAATTATTCTGATGCATGGGTATATAGTTAGGCAAGAATTGATAAGAAAACACCATGGAAATACTCAGCTCCTGACTAGCACATAGTTAGAGAGCAAGGGAAGCCTGGAAAGAACAGACAGCCTGTCTATTTRCTTACCATGTTCTAGGAGAATCTTKTCTTTTATTCAGACTTCTTCTAGGCAGCTGCARATATTGCAAGCAGCCCTCACCAGATTGCACCTCTGGGAGCAGCAGTTGTCTCTTGTCTGYTAGCAGCTTCTTCACGTGTCCAGCACAGCACTGTGCTGTACTGAGTGCTCCAAGGCTGCTGTGAAAACCCTGCTCATCTTCCTCTCCCCTTAGGTAGAGGAGAGGAACAGGGGAGGCTGGTCAGTCTGGTGTTCAACCTCGTAGAACCCTATGGTAGAGCCACATATCCTCTTGCTGTTTTTTCTTTTGAGCTGTTCAGGATGTTTTCTTGCCATGACTTGGTCTTGGGTCTGCCCAGGAGAGTTGGTTCCCAATGGTATAGAGCTGACAGCTGCAATCAAAGCACCCAAAATATATTATCCAGGTAACCACAAAAATACAGTTTTGTAAGTTTGGTTCTTTGGGAATGTGTTTTCGGCTGGTAGAGCAAGGGTTAACCAACAATGGGATTATTCAGAGGGCTGTGGCAGAAGCAAGGCTTAGCCTGCTGGGGAAATGAGGTGTTAAATACCAAATGTGGTGCAGTAAACACCATCCAGCTTCTAGAGTGATGACAGGAGACCTTGCAGAAGTCCCAGAAGACAAACAGAGAGCCATGGGAGGACTGTATGTGGAGCAGCCATGCAGCCACCATACAAACTGGTCATGTAAAAATGCAAGCAGCAGTGGACACAAATATGTACCTGGAACTGGAGCAAAGAGCACAACTCCAGGCTGTCATCACCTCAGGAAAGCAGCACAGAAACTTTCAGTGGGGATGAAAGGGTGACAGCAGGCTTGGATCAGTAGCATCAGTGTAGACCATCACATACACAGCCTTGGCCTTTGAGAATTTGGGTTTGGGGTTTTTTGGTATTTTTTCTCCTCACTGAAAGTGGATGCAATTTTACTTAGATTTTTTTAGATTTCTTTTATTTGTTTTTAATAGGGGGCAACTAAAGCGCTTCTCTTTTAAGTATCGCTTTCTTTTGAAACTGTATTTTAAAACACTGTAAGGTAGGAGTGTGTTCATWGTAGGTTTTTTTAGCAAGAGTTGCATCTTTTTTGATGGATCTCTGATTAACAGATTGGTAGAGGTGCTGAGATCTGAGGATCTAAGGTTTCTGAATCAGAAAGATATACTATTGAACAATATGTTATTCATTGGTTCTTTTCACCTTTTCAAAGGGACTGGTAAAAATTACACTAAAATGAAAATTTAGTTCTTTTGTGTATTTTGGAATTCAATGACAGCTAATGAATGATTATGGAGGCATTTCAATTTATATGGTCAGCTCATATAATATAAATCATATAATATTTGCATGCTATGTAAACATTTTCCTAACAACTCAAAGACTTAAAATCACAGCCAACAAACACTTCATTTTTTTCTTATTTCTGGAGTTGCTTRTGGTCAGCTGTGGGTGTAGTGAATTTGAAACTGTGACCAAAAATCAAAACTTGCTACAAAGATATAAAATATGTTAAGTATCAGAAAGAGGGTTTGGTTTGGAGTGGGACTGTTCTGAGACACTGCTTTATCACCATTTCCTTTGGCATCATGCTGTTTGTTGCTAGGTYATTTAGCAATGTGTTCTGAAGGCTCTGCCACATTGTCCTTGGTCCTCCTTTAACCTGCCATCAGGCACAGCTAAACTGGCTTTTCTTAGAGTTTAGTGCCATCTCCACAACTGTTTAGGGTGGATAGAAAGGAGGGATCAGTCAGGTGTCTGATAACTTGGTAAGAGCCCAAAAGCTCTCTTGARCATTCTGTTCATGCCTAGTTCCTGTAGCAGCCTAGCAAGGAGGATATTTCTCTACTCTCATTAGCCCTGAGAGCATGGCTTCTGTGTTTCCAAACTGTCGGTGTTACAACTGGCATGTATCCTTGAGGTCCATTTGTGTGGTGTGCTGAGCGGGAGGAGACCCCGGCACAGCCCTGTGGATGTTCCGAGGAGTGAAGAGACCACCTGGGACTGGCAATCTCCAGATGTTATAGTTTCCTCCAGCGAAACTCAGTCCCATTTCCAGTGGTGTGTGCTGTTTCCAGTGTTCATCTGTTTCTGACTAAAACCCTAGGAAAACTCTACCAACAATACCATCCAGATGCCCCAATTTTTTTTGTGCCCATTTTTATAACCACCACCTATTTACATCTCTTTCCTAATTCRAATGTCATTTAATCATGTATTACCTGTTACTGGATAATATTGAACATTGAAACAAGGCTGGGCATTTTGAGTGCAAAAACTAATTTTGGCACATACACCAGAACACTGTGTTTGCATTTGAGGCTGCTAAATGGGATACACAGAAGGAAAAATAGATTGATAGTGAGAAAAAAATACATTAATGTGTAACAAAATATCTTTGTTAGAGAGAAAATATTAATTCAGAATTTTCCTTTCTGCCAGTGAATAACTCATGGTGGGAAAGAAAATAAGTTATCTTTCAGAACTGAAGCATTTAGTTGCCTTATGTTGCATATCTGCTTATCAGGTTTAGGGCCCTGTTAAAATTATTTTCAGCATCTGAGTTACTTCAGCAAGAATTACTGTTAAAATTTACACTACTTAAGAAGTTCCACTCAGTTTCAGTTAGAAGAGTGCTTTGTTGGTAGTTTTATTTTGTTTATTTAGTGGGTAGTTTCATCCATCTCTTGCACACCTAGGGGAGCTCTTTACTAAGTTTCATTGTGTCACCCACTCCAAGACTGAGTGGAGTCTTGAGAGCTCTTGTGGGATGCTCAACCACAACAATAAAGTTTTAGGGGAGGGTGGAAGGAATCTCCTTCTGAGGAAGCCATCAATGGGGAACATAGCCAGAAAATGAGTCTCTAGCATGTTAGTATTTGCTTTCTGTTTGTGGCAGAGTGAACCATGGCTTTTCATGRTGCATGAACAAGCTCCTAATCAGGAATCTTAATGTAGGAATTTTGCCTATCAATTTGATTTGTTCTTCTGTTCTTCATGACCTATGGCAAACTCCTTGAARGATTCATCCTGCACTGTTATCATCATGTTAGCAACCATGGACTGTCTTCTGAAAAGGAAGCATGAGTTGTCACCAGTTCACATTTATAGTTGCTGTTTCTGAAATATATTTTCTTCTTTCTATTTTAATTCTCCAAGATTTTCTGAAGCAAGAATCCCTTAGACTACAAGAACCATTAAACTTCTGAAAAAAAAATGCAAAGGAGTGCTGAGTGGAATAACAAAAATATGCTTGTGTCCTCCTGAAACCTGTTTGTGCTGATGGGTTGAGTGAAACATATTTCGTTTTCTTGCTTTTAAAAGGCTGGATTACTATGAATGGTTGTCGATGTTAACTATCAACTTCAACTAACAGTGCTTACAAATCCTAAACAGGGACTGCCAACTGCAGTGTTTTTATGTAGACCTTATTGCTTGGAGTTAAAGGTGTTTTTCCATGCCAGTGTGTCTGCACATTTGTGATGGAAGAGAAGCTGTGCTGCTGGGTGACTGCTGTGGTTGAAGTGCATCTTTTTATGTAATCAAAGAGCTTATCTCCTTCTCTCCTCTATTGCAGTTTTACATCTTGGCGTGTCCCTCTGTTTGCTGAAGATGAAGAAAATGATGGCATGCTGCTTTCTGCTATTTGCACACACTCTGCTCTCCACTGTCATGGCAAAAGATCTCCCTGGAAGACATTTCACCCGAAGAAGGGATGTTAACACACAATCTCTACTAGGTAAGTTACAGACAGAATACCCTAAACACCACTACCAAAAGCTATCTTAAATGCAAATCAAAAAAGGCATAAGCCACTGGCCAAACCTCGRCTGAATTAGTTTATAATAAGAAAGAGATTTTCATTTGTTAGCAGGAATGTGATAAAGTTTATTGACCAGGTAGCAGCTGTTGAAAGAAGGTGTTTACTTTTGTGGTACTTAGGTTTACTTTATGTAAGTGGTATGAAATAAATATTTGCAACAGGACTGTTAGCTTGAAAAAAAAGAAACAATTTTATTTTCAGTGTTTAGAGAAAATACATGCTGATCCATGGAGGTTTTGTCAAATGTGCCTTTTACTATGCCAGAAAGTTTTAGCTGTCTTTATGTGTAATGTGCAGAAGATGATTGAATGGAAATCTGTGGCTATTGAAATGAAGCATGTCATTACATTACTTGATGCTAATCCTTTCATTTTGTCAGATTTATTTATAATGAGTAGCTTTTTTTTTCATAATGAGCTCATTTTTTCCTCTTTTACCAAAAATCTGAGGACAGGGTGTATCAGTTTCAGTTTGTGGGCTGCCATATTTTAAAACATAAGGCTCATCTCTCTCTTGTTGGTCATCACCTGTGCATCATCAAGCAGTCAACCTTTTCATCTCCTAAGAGTTTGTAACTTAGAATCTAAGAGTCTTTTGCTATTTTTTTTAAGTAATTGTCAGATTATGAAAACACAGCATGGATGGGGTTTGGACATAACCCATCTTAGGGATCAATGATTCAGATCAATAGTAGATCTAATCAGATACCTCTCTCCAGCCCCTGGGAGATGGTAAGTGGGCTGCCTCTCTATAAAGGTCAATCAAATGAACATGATGAATGTGAAATGTCCTGCAGAAGATGTATTGGGAAGGAAGAAGAAGAAAGGACGTCAGAACATGGGAGAGCRTCAAGTCTTACCAGTGAAACTCTTCTCTAAACAAAATGTAATCCTTTCAATAATGTAAAATTCCGTAAAGTACCATTTACAACCTGTAATTTAAAAGCATTGGTTTTCAATTCCTGTAGGACAAATTTAAAACAAAGAACAATAGGTTTCCATTTCTTGTTCATCTTCCCCAAAACTAATAGATGCCGTTTTGAAACACTTGGGGTTCTGCCACTGAAGGCTGTAAAGAACAGCTCTGGAGATCTTATTCACAAAAAAAGTATGCATCTAGAACAACAAAGAGAAGTACACACATTCACACCTTACTTAACAAGTTTCTAAAATCTAAATTCTAAAGTGTATATAGCAACTCTTCCTGAATATTTTAGGGTTCCTAGCAAATACCCTAAGTGAGCTTATTGCTCTGAGAAATAAACTACCTGTCTGTCTAGAAAATTAGTAGAAAGGTAAGGTGTTATGAGATGAAACTAAATTTCTCAGCTCACCATTTTCCCTCTGATTTTTTAAAATTCCTTTTATAGCCTCTTTTTCAAATTTAAATTGTGGGAAATATATGAAAGGGATTAGCACTCAGTATAAATCAAAGTGTGTAGATTAAATTATTTCTTCTTTCAAAAGTCAAGAGATTTCTGGTCCCTGCATTTAGAAACTTTTGGATCACTACTCGGTTTGGCATGTGCAGCAACCAGTTCTGACTAAAGGAACCTTTTCAAGACATTAAATGATGCAAAAAGCTTGGAATATTCTCTAATCCAGCCCATAAAAGTACGTGGCAGTTTGGAGTCAGACTCTGGAGCCTTGCATTCTATTTCAAGAAATTAGGGCACCTAGTTCAGATTCAGCAATGTATAGAAACAGTGGCATGGTAATAACATGCCTCTCTGTAAAGAACAGAATGTGTAAAATGCCACTGTGCTGGAAAGTTGAGTGTTCCTTAAATGGCAGGAGAAAGAACAGGGCCAAAACATGATCTCAATAGACTTAATAAAATTACTCTGAAATTTAAGAGTGGTTAGAAGTTGTCATATTCATATAATATGTATATTTTAAGTAGTAATGGTGATGACACTTGCTGCTCTTGTGTAAAGACTTGCTTGGCAGGCAAAGGGAGCAAAATAGCTGCAAAGAMCCAACAGGTACCTGGAAAAGTAATAAAAGTTAAGTTTGGGGGTTGGATTTTTTTTGATGGAAGYTTCTTTCTCAGTACTAAAATGAAGATTTTTGCTATGTAAGTATAGTAATATTAAAATAATTTTATTCCTTTTTTCTGCATTTCACCATTTTTATAACAGAAGCATACTGCTGGGATAACTGTTTACTGGTAAAATAGCAATATTGTCTATGTACAGATGTAAAAGTCATTACTCTAGGAAACTGACAAGTGAAATAAGTAAAACAAAATGGATAAAAAATCCTGTGGGATTGTCCCTGTAAAGAGAAGAGTACTTTGGMTCCAGCTTTAAGAGGATTTAATTTTTCATCAGCTGTGCACTAATACTTCATAGTTTTCTTAATAGTCTTGTTAGGTCTAATTCCCTATATATTTTAACAAAGTCATCCGAAGGAATGAGCTGTGTGTGAAAAGACAAATGTTTTTCTTATTCCGCAATTTTTCAACTAAATCTCAATGTGTGTTGTTTTAATTTGACAGGTCTTTGCATTGCTTATTGCTGTTTAAAATGGTTATAGCTATAGCTAATAATTTCTGTTAAAGAGCTGAAATATTTTGTTCAAGGATCTATCAAAAATAGTTTTTGGAACTCTCTCTATGTGGCCYGCAAAAGCCAAACTGCTTTGCAGATTATTCTTTTATTAAACACTGAGTTAGACTTCCAAGTATTTAAAACTTGTAAATTGTGCCAAATTCATTAATTTTTAACATTTTCTTAAATCTTTCTTGCAGCATATTAGATACACTAACTCTGTTCTTGTAAACTGGGCATGTATTTCATTTCACACAGGCATACTTCTTTGGAAAGATGTGAAATGAATGGATGAAAGCTGTAGTGAATACAGGGAAAGCTGTAGAATGCTATTCTAAGCAGTAACATTCTTTCTCTTCCTTAAGAATATAAAACATGCACCTACATGATTTTTAAAATAACTATGTAAGGCGAAAAGCTAATTTAGGGGGCATTCTTTTAGATATTACATGACAGCAGAAGAAACTACAAAAAATTAAGTGATACTGTACAAAATTAAAATACAGGGGAAAGAAGGCCAAGAAGGAAATGTACTTGGCTCCTGTTCAATAGAAGCTGTTGCAAAATGCAAATGCCCCTGTTTGTGATAAATTATATTTTGTAACAAAAGATACAATGATTTCTCTCTTGGTTGTATATGTATGATTCCACTAATAATATGAAGGGAGTAATATGAACTACATGGAACACTCACTAAATTTCTGAATTGCTTACTACAGTCAGTTAAATTAATCAAAACATTCTTACATTCAAGTTCTTAAACTTGAGTTTATGTAACTATAGGGCTTAAGACATTATCAGGTTAAATATTCTGAGCTACTTTAGCAGTAAATCAGAAGGGAAAATATGTGACAAAAGTGGGTCCAACCCATGATGCTTCTGTGGAGTTCAGAGAAGATTCCTGTTTAATTTTAGTTTAATTTGTTGTATATTTATACAGTAAGAGCTGGCCAGAGATCTCTACATTTTGATAATGTGGACTGTTGAGCCAGTGGGGGTTGCTTTCTGCTGTAAGAAACTCATTCACAGCCTCAGTGTCTGTGTGTATATGTTATTTCTTCACATAAATGCCACCCTGCCAAGTTATATGTSCTCAGACATAATCTTGTCAGAAAGCAGAATCATCGTGACTCAAGTCTGTATTGCAATTGAAGTCAGAATTATGTCACAGTAACTACATTATGTATTAGACATACTTGGTAATGCAAATTTCATTTTTTGAATGAAAAATGCACAAGCCTAACCAAACTTTTGTAAGGATGCCAAATCATGAAGTTGCCATATAAATAGAAATATTCTATATTTAGACAGAGCAAACAAATCATTTTACAGTCTGCAAAATCACCTGTTTCTTCCTTCAGAGATGTGTAGGTAGGTAGTGCAATCTTTGYGCCTCAAGGAATATTAACAGTGGTGTGTTTTGCTTCCCAGTAGTGCTTGTTCCAGTAGCTAAGAGGTCACCCATGAACTTTATGCCGCCTCTCAAAACTTCAACTTTCATCTTAATCTGTCAGCTGTTGGCCTCTCCCCCACAGTAGTTGCTTTTTCACATTTCTGGGGTTTATGCACAGTAGGACACCCTTTGTCTGTGGCTTTGAGGCTTGGTAGCCTGGTTTGTGCTGAGGCTGTGCCTCCCCAGCTCCTAACAGAGGTCCTAGAGTCTGAGARGGAGAGATCTGATAAGCAATCCTATCCCTGTCCAACCAGTTGTTCCCTGCAGCAGCTGTTATCCCTTAAACAGCCCCAGCTAATGAGCCATGAGGATTTGCTGGGACCATGACAAACCTCAGGGATTTATGTCTTAATCTGAGTGTGCTCATCTGCAGCCAGTTATCTTGGAGATCAGAAAGTTTGGATTTTGGTCTGTGCTAGCAATTTGTAACCAAAGGACAACATTATGCTTGCCAGCTCTTGCATTTAGTATTCATTATTTTTCATGTATCAAAACTGCACTTACTTCTAAACCACCTATGAGGTATTTCTGTAATTAAGATTATATGGAATATAATTCAATTTCCAGCATCACAAGAAATTGTATTTTATTTCTTTAATGTGTATTTCCTCTAACAAAGCCTCTTCTCTTTTTCCTCCTTCCTCCCTTCTTTCTTTGTTATATTTTTGTACTATTTTAATTCTCCCCTCCTTTTTTGTTCTTTTTTTCTCCTTTTTCCTTTTCTTTTTTCCTTTTTTTTTTAAAGGTAACTTGTAATTTTTCCACAGGGTAAAAGAATAGCTACTGTTACAGAAAAAACTGAATCATGAACTAAACGTCAAATGATCTTTGTGTTTCTGAATTTGTTTGTTACAACCCCCACAAATTACTGTGAAATACCATTTCTGTTTGAAAAATAGTTTGCCTTGACAA